TGGCATATACTGCAAGTCATAAGAAGAGTTAAAAGTAAATCGGACCATGTAATATAATATGTATTATATTATATCGCGAATAAATTGAGAACAGACGTGTACGTGTACCTATAGGTATATTAATGATTAGAATTTAAACCTGCAATACCTAACGTTCAAAACAGGCAAAACTGCACACAATAGGCTGTAAATACATCATATTATATTATACATTATTGTGTCGTGAAAACGATTATCTTGAACACGTGCAAATTAACAAAATATATAACGTTGGGTAGTAAAACAATAAAAAAAAAAAACATTACAATTAACATAACACACGTTTATACGGATGATGAAAATACGAATTATAAGTACGATGACGAATGAATTTAGCAAACAAACCTTAATTACTAAAATGAGTATAATATTTAAAAAAAAAAAAGTAACTACGGAGGTATAGAATTAAACCGAATACTCCACGATACAACAGTTTCATGTACCTACCTAACAATAAATACGAGTTTTTTTATTTGATACAAAACCAAAACTGTAAGTACCTATGTACGACGATGATGAGATTGATGACGTGATGTGTACAAGCGTTTTGGTGGGTTTTATTAGTAAAACGTCAATCTAGTTTTGAACAAAAAAAAATCCAACTGATGTCAATAAAATAACATGTAAATGTAATGCCTCTTATTTGAATAAGCGTAATATATAGGTATGTACACCTGACAAATAAAATATGTACGTAGGTATTGTAGGTTTGATACAATTCCATAGTCAGCTTGCTATTTTTTTTTTTTGTAAGGGAGAGAGAATGATCGTTAAGTCTATTACCCACATCAACTAATAAATTATTTTCGGTTTTAATAATAATATTATGATAGAGTGACTCTGTGTGGACGGATTAATTGGAAAATTATGTACACTGGTGTCGCTTATAGTGTGTATATAAAAACAAATAAGTCATAAATCATATATTTGTCTCAAAAAACAAATTCACCATTTCCATCATTTTCAAAAATCATGATACACACCTATGCACACATACCACTAACACAATTTAAAAATTGTCATTTAAATCTTTAAGTAGGTATATACGGCTTACTGTACAGTTTGGGATTATTAATTGAGTTCTTATAATATATAAAATATTTTCAATTCTGAATAGTTACAATTTTATAATAAAATTGATTTACTTTCCTAATTTAAAAAATTTAAAACTAAACTAAATCAATGAAAATAAAAATATACTTCATTTTTAATATTTCATATTTCATAAATGAATAAATTCACTAATGAAAAAAATTACCTTCCTCTTGTCTGTACAACTAAAAAGTAAAAGGTAATGGTTTTTTATTTGAAAATACTCAATCGCATAAACTTTTTCATCTTGATAAATAATAATAATGAAAGAGGTGTAAATGCATTTTAACATTTCAAAACCTTTTTACTGAAATGCGCCCGTCAATGAAATACGTGTTGGAGAAGGCGATCAAGAGAGAAAATTGTCATCAGTTCCGGTGCACTCGCCCAACTGATGTTCATTCTTCTTTTTATTTTGTATTACATCTTAAACGGTTCAGATTTTACTTCCCCTTCTCCGGGTATTTTATACTTAACCGTTGCAAGATTCGTGGAAAGAAGCTTACAATAAAGAGCCCCTCTTTTTCACCCAGGCCACAAAAGTAAGGGTTTCCGTTCATTTTTTATTATTCCATTTTAACAAGCAAAATAATGTTTCATATTCATATAGTATCTGTTGATAAATTAAACATTCGTTGAAACGTGAGTTGTAATTTTCATAATAGCTGTCTATAAAACTTGATTTTATATAAGTATACATTTTAAAATAACTTACTCTAAATATATACAAAGATTAAATGTAAATTCCTAAAGCTTCAAAAAATACAATCTCTGATGAGTTTTCCTTTCACCAAAAAGTTATCATACCAGACATCACCAAATAGTTCATTTTTATTTAAATTCGAGAATTATTTAGCAATAAAATATAATTTTAGTTATTTGGTAACAATATATTATTATGTTTTTAAAATATTATTTTCAATCCGTCATAGAAAATATTGATATTATTACCGATTGGATGTTTTAACTAACTTAAATTATATTTATCATCCAAGTTATTTTAGTCCAAATATTCCAAACATAATATTATACATTTTCTGTTTTTATATAGAAATCAAACTGATCCTTCCGTAAAAAAGTTCTCAGTCGTTCTCATACCATTTACAATGAACGTATTTAAAAAACAAAAAAATCAAATTTTGGAATTGAAATCTAAGAATAACACTGAAGCTATATAGCAACTGGTGACTGGAATAATATATATTTAAGGTAAACGACAAACTCATAATTTTATTAAAGTCTCATACATTTAATTGAACTTGGGCTATAGCTTATAGTTATAATTATTGTTTTTTGTTTAAGATGTAATTATTTTTGTCCGTTGTATATAGGTACATAATTAATTATTATATAATATAAATTATGTACCTATAAATTATAATTAATTCCTATATGAGCACAAAATATATAGTTTTATATAATTCACACAGTATCGACAATAGGAGTCATGTTTTGAGGGTATAGAATTTTAAGTATATTTACTTATTTCCAGATAACATTGCACAAAATTACCAGTACATTCGACGATAAATTGTATTATTGTATAAGGTACAATCTTTCATTTTAATATAGCACAGTGCCGTAGTCACGTATTATTAGGGCACGTGCCCCAATCCTAAAAATATTATTTTTTTAACTATTGGCTATGAAGATTATAAATTATAATAACAACATCAGGTACCTATATCTATGAATTATTATGATATCTACATTATAAATTATCATTCCTACCACGGTTATAGATAACGTTTCACGCCAGCTGCAGTTGTCTTAAAAAGTTTAAGAAAGTAAAAGTATAGGTATTAGTATAATATAGAGCTTTTGATTATTCTAGCGAAATTGCAGTAAGGTGTTCCTACACAGTTCCAAGAATAGAAGGAACTCAAAATAACAAAGGTACCTAATTATAATATTCAATAATGATTGTTGCAATTAATACATGGTTTCCATTTTTTTTTTATCCATATTTTGATGACTCGATTTCTTCTTTTAATGAAAGGGTTAAATCAAATTTAGACATTTTAACTTCACTCCCTTGTTTAGTACCTTCTAAAGTATATGCAGTAGGTAGATTATTTTATGATGTTAAATTAGATTATGATTTTTATAAAGAAAATTTAAATGAATATACGTGATAGTAATCGACAAAATAATTGATCAGCGATAAGTGATAACAAATATTTTTTGTGGGAACGTGAAAATAATGAACGTTTTCTTCGTCAATTATTGTCTACACTAAAAAATTTAGTTCACCAATCAATCAATAAATCAATTTGATTGTTTTATAATTTATTAGAACAGCATTGTTTTTCTACTACAAATACTTAGTAGATACAATTATACAAAATGTTAACATAAATATTACTGAGGTTTGATTATATTAATAAACAATGAACCTATTACAGTGAAACTTCCATAGGTACTACGAAGTCTCATGGAGCATAAAATAAATGGTATTATAGAGAATTTCGTTAAATAGAATTGAATAAATTTGGTTCTCAAAAATATTTCGTTAAACAGAAAATTTTGTTAAATGGAAGTTTCACTGTATTAATAAAAGTTATAAAACTGTTGTTGGGTTAAATTGTTATATTTAGTACTCACCTACAATGTTCACGGTTTGTTTATTTATTTGTATGCGTATTACCTAATGTAATAAAAAAATCAAAGAATTGTAATGGGAGTGAGTATGGGACCCATTAATACAGCAACCAACAGGTACCAATTAAACTTTTGGACTTTTGTTTTAATATTTATACACAGTATAAATGTTTTTGATATTAAAATTTAGCATAAAAATTTGTGTATACAAATAAAATACACCATTATTTAGCCTTATGATTCTCACAAATTCCCGACAATTTAAATGGTTTCTCAGCAGATTTACACATCTTTATGTTTACCAAATAATTATTGTTTTAATGATAATATTAAAATTTTAACAAAATATTATTTCTCGTATTTATTTCTCCAATTATTTAAAAAAAATAGGTAGGTTCTTTAAAATTTTTGACCCATTTATTAATTGATTTGCCTCTATAAAAGAAATATGTCTAGATTCAAAAATATAACCTTATTATGAGGCATCCAAATCATGACTCAGGTCTTCAATTTAGTTCTAATTTCTGGTGCTAAGTTATTTAATTTATTTTCGCTATCAAACCAATTTTAATAATTATTTTATATTCAAAAATAAGTTTGTATTAGGTACTAACATTCTTAAACATATGTTTTACTGTTCTAAAATGTAATAATTAGTGAGGTTCCCCCTAGGAAAAAATTGAATAACAGAGAAGTATTTAGACGTTTATAATAGGGTTGGAGACCATCCGGCCCCTCATCAACAAACAATACATTAGTTAAGTATAGTCATAATCTTCAAATAGGTATACCATTTAAAAAAATTACAAAGCTTACAACAAAATAAATAATTATAATATTTATATATATATAAAGCAACCGAATGGGGGGGGGGTTGGACCCTTGTTAGCCCAGCTGCAGTCGCGTATGCTGACGCCGAAAACAGTCAATAGCTGAGTATAATGTCCATTTTAGTCCTGTATACATATATACAGTATCATGTATCATTATATTAACTAATATTATATATTGTATAGATGCATAGGTAAATAGTCAGACACACCAAAATAAAATATGTATATTATATCTGCAGTGGTGTAGTCAGGATTATGATGGGGTTAAGTATAAATTAAACTATAGGTTTTATAATTTTCGTATTCAAATAAAATAATTAATACATTTATTAGGTGGGGGAAATCCAATGGAGGAGGTTAAACACTCAAACCCTCCTGGCTACGGCACTATATATCTGTATAATATACGCATTACGCATGTTGAAAAAAGCTCACCTCCGCCGTTCTTATAGCACAGGTATGGAAATCGCCATACGTTGGCCAAGTCCACGGCGAATCCTATGACCGACATCAGGAAATCCGTTTTGTTTGACCACTGTTCCCTGCCCGGTCGCCTACGCCGCTCCAGCGGGTCAGCCGGCGGCGTGTTGACTCCGGCACCGCCGTCCTCGTCGTCGGTGGCCATATCACGCGATCGCCCCCCCCCAATCTGCGTCTCCGAACTATCCGCCCGCTTTCCTGCAGAATACAAATTTTGACTTATCGTGTATTGAAATTATTAAATCAGCGGGCTGGCAATCGATTTTTATATTTTCCGCTTTCCTGCAGAATACAAATTTTGACTTATCGTATATTGAAATTATTAAATCAGTAGGCTGGCAATCGATTTTTATATTTTACGCCGATGAACGATTTCCGATTGCGGTACGCACCGCAATAATTGAACAATGTATACAATATACATAACACATTATAATAAAATACGTTTTTTTTTCAACGGCGAGAGGGTATACAACAGTAATAAATAATAATATATGCGGCGGGATGATACATGAAGGCTTTAGACAGCGTGATTGAACTGTCGTCGACACATTATATTATTATGAGTAGGTATACTGGACCCGGTGCCCGCGTTCACTGCAATTTAATTAACCAGCAATTATCAAACAACAAAGCCCTTTGCCAAAGTAGGAAAACATAAAGCCTATTGTACACATACGCACAACGCATATTATTATGTTTGTTCGTTTTTCATTCATTAGGTTCGACGTGGTAGCTGTTATACCTATCTATATTAGTATATTACCTAATACACCGAACAGAAAAAAAAATAATAATATAATATTATGGTATAAACACGGGCGATATGAGAGTGTCCGACTAAATCAGTTATTGAGTGGTTCCTCGACACGTTTTATTGACACACAAAAAAAATTTTACTAATCAAACGTAAAAATAATGGATTGACCACCACTGTAATGTACAATATATTATATATAATATATATATATATATATATGATATATCTCAGTGAATCGATGAATTTTAAAGTGTCATGATATAAATTTGTGGCTTGGGTCTAAAAGGGCCAATCTCACTTTTTGGCGAAAATGAGTTATATGGCCAATCTCATAAAACTTAATACGCTTTTTCTAGTGGTAAAAGGGCGTATCTCGTTAATCATTAGTGCAAGATATGAGAGGGCCAATGTCATGAAAATTACAAAAATGTCATGAAAATTACAAAATCTATGGGGCCAATGTGAACATTGGCCCCATGAAAATTACAACAATGGCCCTATAAAAAAAAACAACATGACATTGGCCCTTATAGTGATCACTATAAGGGCCAAAGTCATGATTTTTTTTTTTTTTGTAGGGCCAATGTCAATAGAAAACCTTCTATATTTCACTAAAAAATTCACACCATACTCTAAAATGTAGGGTAAACTATATTTACATCCATCACAAAAACAAAAACATGAACAATAAAAAAAAAAAATTGCTATGAATTTTCAAAAAAAAAAGGAGGCTTTATTCTTGATTACTACAAAGTGACTAAAATTGAGATTGGCCCTTTTCGACCCAAGCCACAGAAATATAATATTTAGTTTTATAAATAATACAAGAAACCTAAGGATAAAATATGTAATGCGTGTATAAAGAAGTATTTCTCTGATTTCTGAAGAATGTTTTTACTTCAGTAAATCCAAAGTCCGTATTACTGACTACCGTTGTAGAACTGTTGCGATTGAAAAATATTGTTAGGCATTCTTTTGTCAAAATGTGTATAATGTTACTTATTGATACACTGATGCACACGTTACGTTAAAGATAACGATATTTCTAATACATCGAACCAACTATAATGGTAAACTTATATGAATATTAAAATTAAATTCAACAAATACTTATAACACAAATGAAAAAAATTAACAAGATATAATGTGAAAAATCATTATGAAAATTGCATACACATTTTAAGAATTAAACAATTTTTTAAATTAGTAACATTTCCAAATTCCAATAATATTTTATGAGCAAGAAAATGAAATAAAATAAATTTTTATAATATGATTTTTGTTCGTTTAGCTATAAATATTATTAAAAATATATTCGGTTCTGTTTCATATTATAATTATACTTACTGTGCATTTTAAAATAACTAATAAGTAATACAAAACAAATTTAATTTAATTTTAATATCTAATATTGAAAATATTATACCAATGTATTTATTTACAATATAAGTTAATTATAACATGTACTCAGAATATTTTTTAAATTTCAGTACTGGTATTATTTGTTTGTATTTTCATCAGACATTTTAAAATATGTCACATCGCATGAGTAAGGAAGTTAATTATCTCATATTATTTTAATCGAAAATATCATTATAAATTACCAATTTAAATCATTTCCAAGCGAAAATTAATGAAAACATGAGAAATATCGATGCCTTGAACGCTAGTTTATTGCGTTTATAATTGAATTACACAAATAATCTAACAGATACACTCCATCCACATACTCATTTAATATTGTTAAACATGTACGTAATACTCCGTGACTAACTAATTACCTATTTCGAAACTTATACATTTTTTAATTAAACAACCATGAAATGTTATCGAATAGCCGTTAAATAAACAGGCAATAACACAAGTTTAATTAAATAATGCGATAATATGACATTTTGGAAATCACTTTTAACCGATCTTCTAAATTTATCTGTACAAAAAATATTATGGTTATATAGCTTACATACAAAGTGTAAAATAGAGAAATATTCTACCACACAATATCGTTTGAAAGTATTATATTCCGATACACTGGTTAAAATGTTGTAAATATTTCCAAAAATTATTATTAATTTAAAAGTACTTTCAATTTTAAATAAAAAATTACTGATAGTTACCATAATATTTTGGCAAAACTAAATAAATAGTAAAAAATAAATCACATTTTTCACAATAAGTCAGTATCATCAAAATTTGATCAAAATATTTAATATTGAAATATATATACAAATACAATATTAATAGAATCTTATATGTTTAAAACTCAATAAATTTAATTTAACTGAACAATAATGTATATCTTTAGATTTAGATATTATTTTATGGTTGCTGAATTTTTATCCCTACAGTACTCACTACGTATTGCAGGTTATTACCTAACAGCTAATCGTCTAATATTTTTTATTGTATTATTTATTTTTATCGTGTAGTTTTAATTATTGAAAAATTACAAGATATAGATTATTTGTTAAACAATGATCCAAACATACAAAATAAGAAATATTTAATTAAAAAAAATATATATATAAATAATAAAGGAATAATTGACTTGTTTAAAAAGGCAGCGGAGTTAAGGATATTAGTTATAGCATATAACGCCAGTTAATTTTCATAAAATAATTTTGTAAAAGTACAATTTATAAAATTACCTATAGAGTTTACATTGTATCAAAAGATAAAATTATTTTTCATCATACAAAATATAAAATGTATTTTTAAACATCCTGAATTTCTTTTGATATGATAAATAAAACTGATACTAACTGATATCTTACTCTATTAATATAAATTATCGTGCAGTCTTAGTGGTGTCTTACAATATTGTTATGCAAATACTTAATTCGTATAATATCAATTGTATTGCTATATAATATTATGCATAATGCGAATTGCATTTGAACAATGAACGTATTATATTATTGTATAGACGTAAAATCATAAGTAAAGTAGGTAGGTGCCTATATATATCAATTTTAATTTATCTAAACGTACAAAATGTATGATATCATACCTGGTGCCTTTCGGCTGGTTGGATACCCGGCCCCGAAGCATCAGCACACCCGCGTAAATTGGACGTCGTATGATTGTGAAGATTAAATAAGGCGCGCGATCTGACAAAATAATATTGTCGGTGCTTTCGTGCATTTTCACAACGCGTCGACCAATCGGAGCTGTGTCATCTGCGGCGCTTGCGTGTTGTTTCGCTAACATTTTAGGCTGACGGGAGGTTTTTTTTTTTTTTTACAGAGCAAAATTACACGTATACAAATAATTTTTAACTGTAGAAATAATAACATAACATTGGAGATTGGTTCAGTTTTCAGATATTTTCCGACAAACACAATAGTCTGTTGCATTTTTGACAAGTTTTTCAATTTTAAGGTAATCTTCCATTTTAGAATCTTAACCATATTAGAATACATTAATTATCTATTCTATTCCCATCTTATAATAGCTGTATAATATTAATTTTATTGTCGTTATTATATTTTATTTCAATATTAAATAAAAAGCATATGACTATAAATTAAGTATTTATAATAATATTATAATATTATGTCTATAGATATTTTATTATACAGCACCTACATTTAATTACAATAGGTAAATAGCATTATTAGAAGCTATAGGTATCTTAAGATTTAAGAATATTGTTTTTGTATTACACGGATCGGCAGTATTGGTAAATTGAATAAAAACATAATAAAACATAAACCTCTCTTCAAAGTTCAATTATATGAATATGTTTTTATAAATGAAGTGTCAAATTGTATATGTCTACTATATAATCAAATTTTGAAAATTATAAATACCAATAAAATTATCTTAATTATTTTAAGTTATAGATGATAGTTATAGTGTTACAACTAATTAATAACTCACAATCATAATATCTGTCTTCTATAAAGTTAGTTACTTATTAGTTATTACCTATAGGTACCCATTATAACCTATAAGTTATAATAATATAATATAGTAACTATGCCCATTATGGAGTAGATTCCTATACTCAAAAAATTACAACCAAAATTAAATTGCCTATTTAAATATTTAAATTTCAAGATTTAAAAATATTATACTTAGATGATAGAACAATAAATTATCAATTTATGAAATTAGAAGGTAATGAATTTTAGCTTAACCCAACTACGTGTTAATAATATATTTCATAATAGCCAACTTAACATAATTTACTATTTAGCCTATATACCTACCTAACCTACACAAATATTACAATTTTATTCTCAACCTATAATAATTGTTGGTAAATAATTGCATCATTCAATATACGAATAAGCACAGCTTTATTCAAAAATTGGTCAACAATTATTAATAATCAGCGTTTTTCACACAAATTGAAAAATCACAAATTTATATTTTCAAAT